AGGCCATTAGTCCCTATTTGCCGCGAGGGGATCCAGTTCTAAAACCACTCATCTATGAAATGATCTTACATGAATTCCTGGAAAGTGATTATGAGGTACAGCATTCTAGCATTCAGTTCTGCAATATTTACTTGTTCTCATTGGGAAATGTCAAGAAATGTAGAAAAATATTTCAGTGCAGCAATTGGCTTAAAGGAAACAGATTTTCAGAGTACATTCAGAAGGTGAAACTTGAGATCAGTCATCTCTCTTGCTAACTAACATTTATGAACACTGAAAATCCCAAATCCAGATACTGGTTTGAAAAAATTGCTTAAGGATATATACACATAAAAGCTAAGAAAAGAGAGAAAGTACACCTTTATGGATTTAATAAATAGAATGTCAGATACAGTTAATGCCTGTACAAGCTTTACAGAGTTCAATACAGTCTAAAGCATGAGACTCAGTACTAAGCTCACCAAAGGAGGATTAGATAAAATTGGAGTGGGAAGTAGGAAAAGAGATTGGAATATTTCCTGGTTGCTTATCGATCAAGGTGAAAAGCACCACATGTATTGTTTATGTACATACTATGCATGTTACATGCATTTTGCTCTTCTATACTTCTAACATCAACATGAGATAAGCACCAATTTTACTGATGACAGAGAATGAAGAATAAATATTTGTCCAGCACCAAACATTTAGTAGATAATTATGATAGTCATGCCAGGGTTTGGATTTAAATTTGGTGTTTGCAACTTTCCAGAGACAATTAGACTTTTTAAAACTTGTTCCTTTAATGGACACTTATTCAGAAAACATTTGTTTTGCTGTTAGATGCTGTTGAGTCAGCGCCGACTCATAACTGCCCTGTGTGTAACAGAACAAACCCTGCCTACTGGCTCCTGCGTTCCTGGAATGTGCTAGTGTGCACTAATGTGACTGTGTTGACATGGATTCAGTTGAGTCACTCGTAGTCAAAGCTGCAGCCAGAGCATAGAAGCCAGTGGTCCTCAACTGGAGCTGATTTGCTTTCTGGGGACATCTGGCAATGCCTGGAGTCATTTTCAGTTGTCAAGGGCTTCAAACTGATTCAGTCATGATTAATGAAGTGAAACAGGAACTAACTCCAGTTTGTAAAATGAGAATGATAAGCAGAATCGGAAAAATTATTGATTAGCCTCTTGCTAAGAATATAATCTCGCTCCTAAAAAACAAAGGCAGTCTGCAAGTCACATAGCAACCAGAAGTTTTGGCACAGTCCAGAGTAGCAATCCACTGTTCATAGTCGGTGGCTGATTGTGCTGCTTCAAATGAGTGTTGCTCTCCACAGTTCTGGCAGTAATTCAGTCCCCTGCATCAAGCTTCTGAAAGGACTTACTGTACATCTTTCACATCTTACTCTTTCAGGGCTTTGACTCGGAATTTCTCCCCTTTTGTAATAGTTTCACTATGCCCACATCTTGCAAATTTAGGTCTGTTCCAATTTCACTGCATCAGCCATGACAGCACTCATTAGAACCAGTTGTACCCGGCTTGCAACTAGGGAGTTGCCAGTGGCAGTAAGTGAGTTGAAGTTGGGGATACTGCATCCTACAAAGCCCAGGAAGATCCCCCCCGAATGATGCACCACCAGGAGCACCAAGATTGGAGAAACTGATTAAAACACGTACATTATTACATAATATAAGGAATACTCTAATAGACTTAGAAGCAAAGTTTCATATCTGGGATGTGTCCATAATACAGATATGGAACACTTAGGACCACAGGCCACTGTTCTCAAAGTTCAAGCAACACTGATGGCCTTGATTAAAAATTAGTACCCAAGAATTGATGGAATATAAATTGAGGTGTGTTTATAAACAGATTGGCCCTGGATTTGCTCACTAGCTTTTGCCAAGAAATTTAGAAGACAGCTATCTGACTGGAAGAAAGCCAGTTTGCTCTCATTTAGGAAAAAAAAGACTCAACCAAACACAAAAATTAAAAATATTATTACTATCACATGCAAATTGGAAAATTATTAGAACAGTACATCAACAGGGAATTGCCAGAAATTCAAGCTGGATTCAGAGGTGCCTTTGACACTAGGGATATCATTGCTGGTATCAAATAGTTGTTGGCTGAAAGCAGGGAACACTAGCTGTTTACTTGTGTTTTAAGCACCATCAGTCAGGAAATCAAAAGATGGGTTGTGTTGGAAAAACAAACTGTCAAAGGATCTCTCCAGAGTGCTAAAGAACAACTGTGTCAGTCTGAAGACTAAGGTACATGATCTAACCATGGTCTTTTCACTTGTTTCCTATACGTCTGAAAGTTTGACAGTAAATAAAGAAGACCAAGAAGAATTGATCTCTGAATTGTGATGTTGGAAAAGAATGTTGACTATGCTGTGGACTGGCAGTAGGACAAACAAATCTGTCTTGGAGGAAAGTAGTACAACTAAGGTGCTCATTAGTGGCAAAGATGATCAAACTCTGCCACAAATACTATAGGCCTTTTGTCAGGAGGGGTCAGTTCTTAGGAAAATACATGATACTCGGAAAGGTAGAGTCAGCAGAAGAAAGAATGACCCTCAAGGAGGTGGATTGACACAGTGACTGTGCCAGCGAGCTCAAGCCTGTCCAAGACCGTGAGGAGGGCACAACACAGGCAAGGGTCAGAGCTGTTCACAGGGTCTGTACAAATTGTGGTTGACTCAGTGACAACAAAATACCAGAAATCGGCTAAAGAGGACATGAGAAGAGATATTTACATGCTTTGAGGGGCTGCTGGTGCTGAATGTCTTAAGCTATTTTTTTTTTAACCAGTCCCTGATTTAATTTAAGGAGAGGGCAGTAAAGCATTTATTTTTAACTCTGAAATTATTTCCAGTCTTAAAATGAAAAGGATTACTTAGCTTGATAATTGTGAGTTTTTCTTCAGTTATTGTCAGGTATTCCTGAAGACATGATATCCAGGTAGATTCTTATATGCATGATCTTTATTTCCCTAAGTCTAGTAATACATAGCACAGGAAAGGATTAGATATTGTAGCAGAATACACTATTTCTTTTATGTTGTTGTCTACCATCGAGTCAAAACTGATCCACAGCTGATCTTCCAGAGAGTTTTCAGAGGCAGTTAACTGCATAGGAAGAGATTGCTCATCCTTTCCCTGTGGATTCAAACCATGTGCCTTCATGATTGCAAGCGCAGCTTCTTGCCCCTAGGCCAACACTTTTCTGTCAAAGAAGAATATGAACTTCAAGGCTAAATGGGTGGAATGGCTCATCTTCTTTCTTACTAGTATGTTTTAAAATGTCACATTTAAGCTTTCTCTAATAGCACAGATCTGGAGTGAAGCAAGCTGAGCAGAACATTAAGATGATCTAAGGAAAGAAAGTACAGGAAGATAAATGAGCTTTGAGAATCCAGAAAATTTCAGAGTAGAGAGTAATCTAGGAGAAGGGATAGTAGACAGTGTGCATCTAGAAGCTCATCATAAAGAAGATTTTGTGATAATAATTTCTATTATATGTGAAGAGTACCAACCATCCATCATAGGCTAGAGCCATGTTGTTCATTTGCTGTTTGGTTCTATTAAATGCATTTTCATTTGGAACATTCTGTAACCACCATCGGCCTTAGTTCTCAGATCCAAAAGAAATAGATAACACAATCTTAGTCCTCAGGGCTTGACACTGACTGGCAAGATCACATTAATAGTCTTAGGCAACTTGAATATTATTAAAATACCCAATTTGTTGTTGTAAAAGTACACCAAACCAGTTCATTTCCAATTCATAGCAGCCCCATTTGACAAAGTGAAATGTGCTCCATAGAGTGTCTAGTCTCTGATGGTTTAGCATTAGATTAGAAGGTCTCTCTTCTGATGCTACTCCGAGTACACTCAAACCTCCAGCCTTTTCATTATCAGCAAACCTGCCACCATTTGCACCATGCAGGAACCCCATCCATCCTATATTAGTCAGTACTCATTGTAATAAAGTTGGCACGGACTTGTAGTTGACCCTGTAACTTAGGCCTTCGAGGCTGTGGATCACATGGAAAGAGATTGCCCATCTCTCTCCCTAAGAACAACTGGTGAATTCAAACCATCAGAGAAATGGAGCCTCAGAATAGCAGTGCAACACCCTTTGGTCTAAGCTACCAGAGCTGCTTTCCATCCTATTGTTGTTATTATGTATCATAAAGTCAGAACTGACCCATAGCCGACCCTCCAGTGGTTTTCAGAGACAGTAAATCACATGGGAGGAGAATAGCCATCTTTCTGCCACAGAGCAGTTGGTAGATTCAAACCACAGGCCTTTGGGTAGGCAGCATAATTCCTTATCACTAAACCAACTTAATCACTAAGCCACCAAAGGTCCTACAAGAGATCTGAAAATAGGATATTGTTAGTTATAGTTAATAGAGAATTCTAGTACAGAATGTCTCATGAATATTCTGCCTTTGTTAAAGATAATTGTGCGTGATCTCTGAAAAGAATAGAAAAGAACATGACTTTATTTAGAAATATATTCTTTTTCTAAAGAGAACTTTAGTGGTCTAGTGGTAAGGAGTTGCACTGCCAACCCAAAGGCGTGTAGTTCGAATCCAACTGTGGCTCTATTGGAAAAAGATTGGCATCCCCGTCTGTGCAGTTTGCAGCTTTTGAAAATCCTCCAGGATCAGCTGAGTTGGTTTTGACTTGAGAGCACCTAACAATTACAGATTTGTACAATAATGTTCATTTAAGCCTAAAAAGGGAATTTTATTATTCTATGTTTCTGTTGCACTTCTTTCAAAGGATTTATTTAGCTCTTACTTTTTTAAGTAATCTTTTTACATATTCAACATTATGCTATGATTCATATCTGGAAAACTTTACTGAGGCTGAAATATATAACCACTGTCTAGAACATTACCATGACTTAAAATTACAGCTTGTAGATTTTTTTTTCTGAATGGACATGGATGTCTTCCTGGGCTGTGCTTTTATGAAAGTAACATAATCTACACAGGAGTTCTACAGGACACGTCACCTTCCCTTGGAGACAGCACAACTAAACTTAAGAGACACTGGTCAAAAGAAAAAA